GATGCACATTTCCTTAATAAAAAGTTTTTTAAAGTTCCATTCCGTGATGATAGCAGAAGGTAGTTTTTTTCCTTTTTTCCTTCTCTTTCTTTTCCCCCCAACTTTTTATTTTGAAAAGTTTCAAAATAAAATACGCTTCACCTAAATTCATCAACTGTTAACATTTTCCCACATACGCACATTTTTGAGGAAACATTTGAAAATTACAGACATCAAGACCCTTTATTCCTAAATACTTCAGTGTATCTCCCAAGAACAAGAATGTTCTATATAAACACAATCATGCCAAGAAATTTAACACCGATATAAAAATATCTAACATACGGTCTATATTTGAATTTGCTTAATTGTTCCATTAATGCAATTTATGGATTTTCATTGCTGGATAGAGACACCAATCAAGTATTATGGATGACATTAGTTGTCATGTTTTTCAGTCTCCTTTAATCTAGACCTAATCTAGAATAATTCTCCTGACTTTTCGTTCATGATGTTGACATTTTAGAAAAGTTCAGGCAGTCATTCTGTAAAATGTCCCACATTTTGAACTTGTCCAATTGTTTCTTCACCATTAGATTCCGGTTAAACACTGCTGTCAAGAACACTATATAAGGGATGTGCCCGGCTCAGTGCATCACATAGGAGTCACATAATGAACTTTGTTATCATTATGGGTTATGTTAAGCTCCGTCAGTTGGTTAAGATAATAATCCCTAGCTTTCTCTATTATAAATGTATTTTTCCCTTTGTAATTAACAAATAATCTGCAGAGTTATATTTTGAGACTGTATGATTATCCCAATAAGTTTTCAACCAATGGTTTAGCATTCATCGATCTTTGACTGACTCAATTGTTGCATTTTGCAAAGTGAGTTTTATTAAAATGCCTTTTCTTGGCAAAATAAAATATTAGCAGCCTTATGTCATTCACCTATGTGTATACATTTCTCCCTACTCAGTATATAGTTAACACATTCCTCACCCTTTCAATAATGATTTCTATATCTTTCCATCTTCAGTTTCAATTATTTCTTTATGTGTTATAGCTACAGTTTGAAAAATAGAGCAATTTTAACATAATAAGACCAGTTTTCTAATCCATGCCTTTACCTACCCTATTCCCAGCTGAATTAATGGAATGCTTTCCCCATCACAGAATCTCACTTCTTGAAAGCCTATCTAATCCCTGAGGTTCATCTCAAAAGGCACCTCGCTATGAATCCTTCCTCTGTCCTTCCAAACCAAAGATGTAATTCCTCCTTCCTTTGAACTCCACAGAACTCCACTGATAGCTTTCTTAAGCCTTTCATCCTACTCTACCAGGTACAGGTTTTTGGGTGGTCTCACATTTTCATTTCTGTAGGTAAGTAGGTAGAAGAGGGATTACTGGATCATAGGATAAATATGTGTTTATAAGAAAATACCAAACTTCTTCCAAGTGGCTGTACCATTTCCATCCCCACCAGCCATGTGTGGGAGTTCTATTTGATCTCCATACATGTTTTCAGAAAAGAGTTATGTACAAAAGTAAAGGAAACTGCTTGTCTACTAAATTTAATGGCTAAAATATCACTCTAAAATACTGGAAACAACATTCAACTTGGGAGTCAAAAGACTTGGCTTGAGTTTAGCTTTGCCATTTATTAGGAAAAGTTGCTTTCCCTCATTTGGCCTCAGTTTCCTCATTTGAGGAATTTTAAGTAGATGATCTCTAAGGTCCTTTTAAATCCAACGTTCTATGATTCCAATTAATTAGAAGATTTTTGGGGAGGGGGTTTCACAGGGGAAGGAAGAGAAGGGGTAAGGTCCACTTATTGCTTAGGAATATTGAGGGATAAAGACCAAGGTAAGAAAATGGTTACCTAAAACAGTGGTCATAACATTTGCAATGCTTAAGATAGCTACATCTAGATAAGCTGAAACATTCATCAGAAATAGAAATTTAGGAAGCAGAGAGAACAGATAAACTGTGGCACACTCAGCAATAAAGAAAGGAATGAACTACTGATGCTCGCAATCTGGATGAATCTCAAATACATAATGCTGAGTGAAAGAAGCCTTAAACAGAAGAGTATTTATTGTATGGTTACACTTATATAAAAGTCTAGAACAGGCAAACAGTGGTTGCTTCTAGGGGTGAGGTGGGGGCATGAAGGAAGATAATGTTCTGTATCCCACATTTGTCAGAACTCTAACAAATGCACACTTAAGACTTGTACATTTATACAAATTACATGTAAATTTAAAGAAAAAATCTATAAATAATTATAGAACTTGAGTTAATCTGCATGCTGAAGGAGTTAGGGTAAAGTGTCCTAAGGCCTGCAACTTACTTTAAAATGCATCAAAATTAAGATGGATTAATAGATGGTAAGTGATAGATATGTGATAAAGCAAGTTAAATGTTAGAATTTAGGTAGTGAATATACAGGTATTCACTGTAAAACTATTTCAACATTGCTGTATGTTTTCAACACTCCCCAATAAAATGTGGAAAAACATTCTAAAAAATTAAGAAATAAGAAGTGGAGATTTTTTTTTTTTTTAAGGTTTTTATTTATTTATTTTTCCCCCCAAAGCCCCAGTAGATAGTTGTGTGTCACAGCTGCACATCCTTCTAGTTGCTGTATGTGGGACGCGGCCTCAGCATGGCCGGAGAAGCAGCGCGTCGGTGCAGCCCGGGATCCGAACCCGCGTCGCCAGCAGTGGAGCGCGCTCACTTAACCACTAAGCCACGGGGCCGGCCCAGAAGTGGAGATTTTTAAATAAAGATAAGGTCAGTTGCCTTTTGGAAAAGAGCTAATGAAGGCTCACACGGTCCTAGTCTTTCAAGGTCATATAGTTAAGGACAATAAGGATTATATGACTGCTCAGAATAATATGCAGAAAGATAAGATTATCCCTGTCTCAAATGATGAAAGTTAGAAAGACCATATGCTTGCTCTCCCAAATGCTGGCCGAGAAAGCACAAAACTGCGACCTAATCTCCTGTCTGAGATTTTTGACATTGTTGCAACATCTAAGTGCATGATCAGTGGACTCATCCCATGGAACAGGGTAAAAGCCACTTTGGGTGATATGGAACCTTCATGGTGAGGGAGAGCTATGTATACTCACATGCAGTAGGACCACATTAAAATGTATATTTTATGGTTTGTCAGTTAACCCAAAAGTGCATAAAATCCAGAATTCATTTCTTTTTACAAAAAGACTGTTTAAATGTAATATAATGTTATAGGATAAACTGTTAGAACCGGCTTCTGATGAAAACTGAAAATGACTTTTTAAAATACGGCATCACTTGCTTCATTCTGAACAAAAGTTAAGAATAAATATCTTGCTCAAATTATTTTATAATCTCTTCTTCCATTCCTATCAATACAACAATGGGAGACTAGTTTATCTACTATGATGTAATTAAAACAAAACCTAGAAACAATTTAGATATACATTATCCCCGGTAACTCTGTCATCAATCCAACCTAGATTAATTAACAAGCAAGAAGCAGAGTCACTTATCACATTACTAACCTTAAATACTGAGGTACACAGTGTTCTCAGTGTGCCCAAAGATACGTAACATGGGAAATCACTACTTCACTCCTAATTTTTGGTTTAGTTTTGATTGGAAAATGACTAAGAAGTTACAAGTGTAACGGAGACTCTATATTTACTGCGTACATGTATATTGTTAAAGAACAACATATATAGTTTTTGTAACTTAAGTTTTTTCTCTACTATGTTTGTTTGTTTTTTTTACTTCGAGATTTTATTTATTTATTTTTTTTTTATTGTGGTAACATTGGTTTATAACATTATATAAATTTCAGGTGTACATCATTATATTTTGATTTCTGTATAGATTACATCATGTTCACTACTCAAAGACTAATTTTTTTTTTTTTTTTGGTGAGGAAGATCGGCCCTGAGCTAACATCTGCCAATCCTCCTCTCTTTTTGCTGAGGAAGACTGGCCCTGGGCTAACATCTGTGCCCATCTTCCTCTACTTTATACAGGACACCGCCACAGCATGGCTTGACAAACGGTGCGTCGGTGTGTGCCCGGGATCCAAACTGGCAAACCCCGGGCTGCCACAGCAAAGCGCGGGCACTTAACCACTTGCGCCACTGGGCCGGCCCCTCAAAGACTAATTACAATCCACCACCACACACATGTGCCTAATCATCCCTTTCGCCCTCCTCCCTCCCCCATTCCCCTCTGGTAACCACCAATCCAATCTCTGTCTCGATGTGACTGTTTGTTGTTGTTTACTATGTTTCTTTTGATTATATTTATTGAAATGTATGTTAAGTCTGTCAAGTTCAATAATAAAAGTTTGGGCTTGTATTTTGTATGTCTTTTGTCCCCCACTGCATTTTTCCAGTAATTCATTTTTATCATATTTTACAAAAGTATCAATCTGCGAGGGGCTGGAAATGAAGAATACAGGTTCTTGAAAGACAGTTTGAGAGGAAGTGGTTTAGGTCTCACTCTGGCAGCGTGCTGCAGAGTCTAGCAGGGTGGAACAGCAGTGGAACCCTGAGAGGAAGCTGCTGTGCAGTGATCTCGGCTGTGTCTTAGGCTGCTCAGCGTCGGCTGTTTTTGCTCCTTTTCAGAACCTTCAGCCTTTCCACTGATCCTATCAGCTATGTCACTGCTTTCTAATTTTATTTTTAAACAGAGTCAGTTTCACGTCTTGCAGCTAAGACCTCTGGCTGGTCTATACTTGTTGGTCTACCTGTTTTGCTTCACTGATCTTTATTTCTCAGTCTACACTTTCCCACATTAAAGAACCAGCTGTGACACCTTCACCTCTCTTCCTTTTCAACCTAAGCCGCAGATTTTATTTCTGCTGAAGTGTCAAGAAATGTTCCTCGCATCCTGTGTTTTGCAATAAAAATAATGTTAACAGGGCGAGTCAGTTTTTTGGTATTAGGCTGGTATTAGTCCAGCTGTATTATAAGTTAAATAATAGCAAATATTGAGTACTTATGTGCCAAGTACTATCCTAGGTGCTATGCCTCGTTTAGCATCACGACAAAACTATATGCTAGATATCATTACTCCCATTTTATAGTTGAGGAAACTAAGATTCAGAGAGGTTAAGTTATCAAGGTTACCTTGTTAGTACAAAGCAGAGATAAAACTCAAGTTGAAAAGTATATAATCACTTGAGAAGCTAAAAACATTGGAATGTTTAGAAAATAACCCATCTGCAATCCAGGGACAGCTTACACTGTATCTGAGGTGTACCACCTATGTTACCTTCCAGTTCTTACCTGTTAGCTTAGTGAAGGCTTCCATGTCATCAATTGCTGTAGAAATATGATACTTTTTTCCTTCAGCACCTGTAATCTCTATGTAGGGGTCTGCTTTGAGGAAAGCATCTGTAATCCTAAAGACCATATATAAAAATGTGTGCTTATGAGAAAATTTGAATATTTGCTTTATGCCTGGCTTAAAGTTAAGGAAATCTTTCTACTTTAGGGAAATAACATCTTGAGACACGATGTTCTAAAGACAACTGCTTCTCGATCATACTGAATAAGAGCGTGGTGATTTGTGAGCTACCATGTTTACTGTGTTCCAGGCATTACGGCAGAGCTTTAGATAAGTCACCTGATTTAATCTTTTCAACAATAAGATAGGTGTAATCAGCCTCACTTTTACAGATGCAGAAATTAAGTAATTTTCATTTAACCACGTTAGGAAGAAGCAATACCAGGCTTTGAACCTAGATCTCTCCAAATTAAAGACAAATGAAAACAACAACAAAAACTTCGTATCAAAGTAACAACCACACAAATAGGAGACTGTATTCTAACTAGTCTGCTCGTGACAAAAGATGGGAAAAAAAAAATAGAAAAGTTAAATTTCTTCAACACAAATGTAAACATGAACATGAAAGGCTTAAAATAAATCAATTTAAAGCTATTTTAGAGACATGGAATTAACTCAACTCATATCCAACTTTTGAGAACTCCTCATGGGGTCTTTGAGTCACATAGGGACTTAGTTGTACTTTTCTGCTATGGTTCTGACTGGATCAGGGAGAAGAAGTGAAATTCCTGTCAGTTTTACTATTTGCTACTAATTTTCTTTGTTTCTTTTGGTGAGGAAGATTGGCCCGGAGCTAACATCTGTTGGTAATCCTCCTCTTTTTGCTTGAGGAAGGCTGTCCCTGAGCTAACATCTGTGCCAATCTTCCTCTATTTTGTACATGGGGCACCGCCACAGCATGGCTTGACGAGCAGTGTGTAGGTCCGCGCCTGGGATCCGAACCCAGGAACCCTAGGCCGCAGAAGTGGAGCACACAAACTTAACCGCTACTCCACCAGGCCAGCCTCAATTTTGCTACTAATTTTGATAAATAATTGACATTGTAAGGACAGACATTAGCTTAATCCTTAAAATTGATTTTTGTCATTAATTTCAGAATGTCAGTTAGCCACGTCCCATCTGTCACCTTGATGACTAATATCTGGTATATAAGTGACTACCTGTGTGGAGGTCTAAGCCATTCCAGCACTGCCTCTTCCTGTCTAGCCTAAGCTAGCTCTTCTGCCCTTCATCTATCCCTTTTATCCATTCTCCTCCTCCTCCTCCAATGAGGTTAGGTTTACTTTACACTAGTTTTTGTTTTGTTTGTTTAAGGAAACCATTTTAGATTTATTCACTTAAAATTCACTTGAATTTATCTAGAAATCTCACCTTGACCCAAATATGATACTCTAGCAAAGTATCATGGAAAATTTTATAGGGAAATAACAATTGAATTTCTTACATTGTATCAATGATGTTGCCAACTTTGTGTTGATAAGCTCTACGGTGCAAACAGTTGCGTGTGTGGAACATATCATACAGATTCCCAACCTCCTGCAGGAAAACATGAAACGTACATTAATGTAGGATCAGCTTAGGCTACCCGTTAGTAGACAAGGAAAAAGGCGGCAGACAAGAAGGCTATGCATTCAAATCCCTGAGCCTACTAGAAAATGACAAGGCAGATTAGTAAAACTATTTATTGGTTTGCAACTTCTGTTCTTAGTAAACCAAAAGCTATTGAGTTTTTAACTCTGTCACAGGTCCTGTTTCAGGCATCCTAAATATATGATTTGATCTTTCTAATAACTAGAAATCAGGTATTATTCTTATAGTCTTCATTCTCAAAAGAAAGACTTTCTATAGAACAATACTATACCACTCTAGTTACATGACTATAATCTGGCAGGGACCTAATGATTTTACTATTTTCATTATTACGAAACACTAATATAGTGATTTGTTTTTTATAATTTTATTTATTTATTTTTTTCCCCCAAATCCCCAGTAGATAGTTGTATGGCATAGCTGCACATCCTTCTAGTTGCTGCATGTGGGACGTGGCCTCAGCGTGGCCAGAGAAGCAGTGCGTCGGTGCGCGCCCAGCATCTGAACCCGGGCCGCCAGCAGCGGAGCTCGAGCGCTTAACCGCTAAGCCATGGGGCCGGCCCTAATATAGTGATTAATGATGAGACTCAAGCCAAACTTTCTGGGTTGAAATTCCAGTTCTGCCTTTTTTTAATTGTATATCTTCTCTGTGCTTCAATTGGCTCATCTGTTAAGTGGGATAATAACAGTATCTATCTCATAGGGCTGTGAGGATTGAACTAATCCAGCTGAAGCACTTTAAACAGTGCCTAGCACAACACTCAATAAATGTCTATTGCAATTTTATTATTATTTAACAATGCAGTAGAAGTGAAAAGAGCCTTAAGACACTTAAAAATGCTAAGCATGAAGTAAAGTGATTGACAGTTTACGAGATACTGATTTTTCCAAATGATTAAATGGTCACTTCTAGATTTCAAACTAGGAACTACACCTTCTTTGTTGTTCTTCTGACATAGCTTACCTTTTCTCTAGTACAAATATGCTTCCTATTATCTACTTCACAGACACGGGCAAACTTAACAAAGCGCTTATAATCAAAATTATTTTGGATTCCAAGATGATGACAGTCCCTAGAAGGATTCCAAAGCAGAGAGATGAAATTTGTCAACAAGGAAACTGTATCTTAAATATTAACACTAAATTTATACAAGGATTTTTATTTGTTTATTTACTTAAATAAAAATCGTATATATTTAAAGTACACAAGGATTTTAACCAACTTTTCTGTAGTGTTCAGTGCATACCTGGCAAAATAATCCCATTTGTCCACATCAATGCCATTTCTTTTATTGGCCACTATCTCATAAAGGAAGCTTTTCTCTTTAGGACGCCCTTTGTATGGCCACTGGAAGACGAGAAAACCCAATGAAGGCTTTAGGATAGGAACCAAATCTATTTACAAGCAAAGCAAGGCAACTGTATTAATCCGAAAATTATAAACAGATACTTGAATGGAATGTGAGATACATTAGAAGGTTTTACTCTTTCCTTCTTGCACTTAATTCATAAATTAGTAGAAAAGGAAAAAGAAATGCTAAGGTATATGATATCCTGTTAACACTAAATCTTCTTGTGCCATTGAAAGGATCCTAACTCTATTACACTTCCCATAACCAACAAGCTTTCTTGCTTTAAAATTTTATTTTTTAAATATAAGATCTAATTAGGAACTACTAAGAATGTTCCTTATATATACGCTAATGCTTGAATTCGTGCATGAAAATAGTATTATCTTTCAAAGTAGCTACACGTCTGGTATAAATGACATGCGCTGTTCAAAGAATTTTTGGAGCTCCATTTCTTAGAAATAGGTTATTTGCTACAAAATCTACCTCTTTATCTTGCACCTTACACGTAGATTTGCATATAGTCAAGTAAAAAAGCTTAAAAACCTCAAGGGGAAATTATTTTTCAACTTTTTTTTTTCTTTTTTGGTGAGGTTTTCCTGAGCTAACATGCATGCCAATCCTCCTCTTTTTGCTGAGGAAGACCGGCTCTGAGCTAACATCTATTGCCAATCCTCCTCCTTTTTCTCCCCAAAGCCCCAGTAGATAGTTGTATGTCATAGCTGCACATCCTTCTAGTTACTGTATGTGGGACGCCTCCTCAGCATGGCCCGACAGGCGGTGCGCGGGTGCGCGCCCGGGATCTGAACCCGGGCCGCCAGCAGCGGAGCGCGCGCACTTAACCGCTAAGCCACGGGGCCAGCCCCTCAACTTCTTTTTTAATTAAAAAAAGCAAAAAGATCAAAAAGGATACAAAACAGACTTTCCTCTGAGCTAATTCAACTTTTTCTAGGGCTTCATATATCTAAATATTTCAAATGTTAATTTTAATGGATAAATAAGACATACACATTTACATTTTCCAGAATTACTTTAGGCTTCTATATAAAATACTGCATACAAGTTCATTTAAAAATATTTATATATGTATTTTAAATTGGGAGGTAACTTGTAAAGAATTCAGTTAAAAGAGCTGGAAAAAATATATAAGCCTTTCATTTTCTGCATTAAACAGTAGAAATATATAACATATTTTATCATTTAGTCCCTCTAAAACAGCCAAGTGTCCCTCTTCAAAGAGCTCTGAAGGAATCAAGAGAAGACTAGATGAAAAGCACCAGTCAGTTCAAATTAAGTTGTACACAAACTTACCAAAAAATCTTTGGTGGGTGTTTCAAGTGGTCCTGTAATTTGTTCCTTGATAAAGCAAATATCTTCTTCAGGAATGAGACCATAGTGTTCCATGACAGCTCTGAGTCCATTAGAATTAACTAGGTGCTCAAACATCTTAACTGAGCCCTCTTCATGCTAGGAAAAGTCAGCACAATATGGTCTGTTACAGCCTCTAGTCCATTAGGGACCCTATACCATCCAAATTACTCTTGATTCCAGGTAATTCAGAGATAAGGTTCTACTGCATGTTAACGATCTAGTTTCCAACTACAGCCTTGCAGATATTTTTAAAAGCGTGCCAAACAACAACAACAACAAACAAACACATAGACACAGAGAATAGACTGGTGGGTACCAGAGGGGAAAGGGGGAGGGTGAAAGGGGTAAGAGGGCACATTTGTACGGTGACAGACGGCAACTAGACTTGTGGTGGCGAACACAATGTAGTCTACACAGAAGTCAAAATATAATGATGTACACCTGAAATTTATATAATGTTATAAACCAGTATTACCTCAATAAAAAAATTTTTTTAAAAAGCCTGTCAATTTGTCTGTATTTTACTATTCCATAAACCTTTTACAAACCATGTGCATCTTATTTCATACATTTACTGATATAATCATTTACAATACAGAAGTACTGTACACTATAGTACAGAATATTACCAGGTCATACAGGTAGAATTCCATTTTAACGAATATCACTATAAAATTGAGTTCTATTGCTTCATCAGCCTTAAAACATGTGAGGTTACAAGTTCTGTTAGCACTTCCATCTAGTGAGGAAAAAGGGTAAATGCAAATTTGCCAGTAAAAACAGAAGTTAAGAGTTCTGAAGTCACGATCTGGGTGGGAATCTCAAACAGACCTCATTTTACTCATTTATCTCTGCTCACTGATTCATAATCATTGTAAAGATCAAATGACCCTCTGGAGACATCTGCCCTATCATTGGTCTTACCAAAAACTGACAAGATGAAAAGAAAAACCTGAATGGTCCTATAACTATTTTTTAAAAATTGAATCAAGGGCCCGCCCCGTGGCTTAGCGGTCAAGTGCGCGCGCTCCGCTTCTGGCAGCCCGGTTTGGATCCCAGGCGCGCACCGACACACCGCTTCTCCGGCCATGCTGAGGCCGCGTCCCACATATAGCAACTAGAAGGATGTGCAGCTATGACATACAACTATCTACTGGGGCTTTGGGGGAAAAATAAACAAACAAACAAATAAATAAATAAATAAAATTGAATCAAGATACATATGAATTATAAACAGGAAAAATAGTTAAGTTTATAGTAGAAAAATTTGGCAGACATTGCTTTAATCAAGTGATCAAAATTAATTTCACCAGTAATGGTTTAGATTTTATGTGCCTCTCATGTGATACACTAATAAGACACAATGTGTGTGGGGGATCAGAATTGGCCACTCCAAAAGGTGTCTCTTTGGCTTGATT